AGTATTTCATGATGTTCTGCAGGTCTAAGGTTCTGGGGTGACCAGGGAAGATAAAAAATGCTAACCCAGATGGAGGTCACACTACACAAAGCTATGGAAGAGTGGATCATCCCTGATCCACACACAGTCCCATTTAAACCTCTTAGGAAGTGTTACTGCACAGGCTCAGTAGCACTTGTGTCACTACATTACAACTGGAGTACACTGTCAGAACTATATAGGCTAAATGTTGAAAACACTTCCTAATCATCTCTGAAAACTCAGATGCTATTAGACAATGGAGAAACTTAAGGGAGCCGTGTCCTAAAGATTAATTTACACTCTGAAGAACAAATACTTCTTTTCTCCTAAGGTTTGCTACTTTCTCTGTAGCATGCAATTTCACAAGTTTGGAACATGTCTTTGCAAGACAATAGGAAATCTGCAGAGACACCCTAATACGCTAAATAGATCTGGATAAGAGACTTGTGTGGCCATTTTATGGGACAAACAGCCAACAACCTGCAGGAATCAAAACTTCAACTCTAAGAAAAATATGTGGTTATTTGCAACCACATATTCTGAGTTATAGTCATAAATGGAACGCTAAGAAGTCCTGGATTATGAACGGAAGGCAGATGTTACTATGAAAAGCGAAATGCTATGGCAATATTTTGCCATGCACCCCCACCTACAAAGTCTGATTTAGCACGGGCAACACTTAAAACCTGCAAGCCCTGAAATGCCTTATCTTGGAAAGGAAATTTCTTGGTTGCGAGTACATTAAGCCAGTCATCTGCAAATCTTCACAACCTAAAATCAATCAGCAGGATGCATTAAAACCCAGGAAGTGCCAAAGCCCCAACACAAGGTCAATCGCACAGTAATTTAATAGTGAACCATACATGCAGTAGTACTGGTTAATGTGCTAAAGTGTGGGCACAGTACATACAAGCAGAAAACCTCCTCTGCGTTGGGTAAAGTTATTTAAGATGCCAACCAGATCTTGTACCTACAGACACAAGTGAACCATACACTACCAAACTTTAGGTTTAAAACTCAGATGAATCAGGTATTTCTGCTACAGGTAACCAGTTTCAAAATAAAACTGAAGACTGCAGGAGAGCTATGATTTGTGCAAGCATTTTACATCCTCATCACCATTCATCAGAAAAGTTCTGCTTTACGCCCTGTTTTCATGTGCCATATTGGTCTCTCAAAACTGTAAAACAAAACTTTCCAGGTTAAGTCTTAGTCTTTTATCACTGTCTTTTCTCACAAATATATCTTTAGCTTACTGTCATGCAGCATTTAATAACTGCAGGTGCTTCAATATGTGTGAAATTCACATTAATTTCACAGTAAAACTGAGGTGTGGACTGTGTTAAAAAATTTATACTGGTGATCATATGATGCAAAAGGATTTGATTTTTTTGTCATCACTTTATGCTCCCTAAGTTACAGTAAAGAGTTTTAAAGGAAATGGTTCCATATCGGCAGTATTGCTGGTTTTTAACTACGTTGATTTCTTTAAAGGGCCAACATTCTGTTGTGAAGACAAGGTCTACATTGCTCGTTTAAATTTATACTTAAAATACCTGTTACAGCAAGAAACTGTACTTGAATTTCCTAAATCCTGTGTTAGGTCTCTAACTAGTCCTATTCTTCTGGTTTTCTAAGACACCTACTTAATCAGCTCTTCAAGAGTTCCAGAAACTCCCAAGGCATCCAGAAACACTTTCAGGTTTAATGCTCTAGTGTTCTTCAAAAGGATCTGGGAAAGGAGGTTATACATATAGTTACAAAAAGAGCACCAGCTCCAAAGGCAAAAAAAAAATCCTCCACAGCTCACTTTAAATGAATATATTAGATTTGATTATTATCTTAAAGATTTTCAGGTTTTAAATAGACTTCTCTGCCAACAATGGAAGCCAGAAATGTGGATGATACATGCGTGGGCATAACCTGAGCTACTTAATATCCAGAAAACTAACAGCAGTTAAGCCACAGAAGTACAGATTTCCATGGAGGTCTTCAAGTACTGTGCAGGCAGACAGCTCATGTCAAGGCCTGGAGCAGTACAGCTTCACTGTTTTTTAGCCAAACAGATTACATTTACCTTAAGCATACTGCACACATACCTACCAAAAGTGTGCCTTAAAAATGAACAATTTACATACAGCCTTCTGATTTTTAAAAAGCTGAAACAAAAGCTACAACAAACTGAGATACCTGCATATTTAAAAGGGATGGTAATGCTACAGCTGACACCACCTTAATCGTCAATGCTGTTGTGCTGATCCAGTGCATTTGTGTTGTAGCTTCAGCACAGCTCCTTCTTTCTACCAGTACAACATCCTCCTCACATGCAGTACAGTTGCAAATGACAGTGCTATTTTAGAACATAAGCTGTGCATCACTTTTTTTCCCTGACTTTTTAATATTTTCAGTGGGAGATACCTTTGGAGAAACAGTTTTGAAGGTCAAGCTCAAACCACACAGGTGTCTAGTTTTCATTTCATCCTCATGGAATCCTTTGTGGCACTTTCATTTATTTTAGTATTGCTGCCTCTGACCTTGCCCTTCTTACTCATCTCCCACTCACTATCTTTTTATTTCTCTTCCAGTAGTGTTTATTATATTCAGGTCTAAAATTAGGCTCAGATCTTGCAGACTTCACTTAATATTTCATGACACTGATTTCAACTATTTGATGTCCAACACAGGAATTGTGCATCGCTCTCATACTTGGAGGATATAAATGTATCTTCATTTCATTAACATGACAGCAGTAATTATACCAGTATTTATATCCATTTTGAACAGCGTATCAGCATATATTGATGGCTTCTGGATTTATATGGACAAGACAGAACTTTTAAAAATTATTACAGAAAACAAAATTACATGTGATAGAGGTGGTCATCAGCCCCAACACTGTTCAACAGAATTCAAGACAGCAGAAAACATCATTTTCCAACACTGTAGTGAGTCTTTGACAAAACTGGCTCTTCTATAACCTCAGGAATACAGATATTCATCATGGAACAATAGAACCTGTCTACTGCTCAGGGATATTTTGACAGGAGTAACCTGTGAATCTACTTTAACGACTAGAGAGTTTCTGCGACACTAAGAAACATATCACTTGACAGGATATTTCAGGCCTGAAAGAGATTAGTGTCCTATTGCAATTCAGAGCTCAACTACAGATGTGTATCTTTAAAAGTTTTATTATTAAAAATTAAGCCATAAGGGATAGGAGCCTAGAAAAAAATGCAGGGGGTTAAGAATCCTCAATTTCTGATCCTAGTAAACTCAAAACTGTTTAAGACACTAAAGAAGCAGTGCTCTGAATAGCTGAACTGATTTAAAAGCTAACACTGAAAGGAGTTGCTCTTGCTTCTCCTACCTCCTGCTCCTGACTTTGTCTCCTCCTTCATAATGGATTTGGTACTTGCCGAACCTGGTTCAACTCACTGATCTGCAAGACCTTTTACTAATTCAAAGATGAGAACGTTATTGGATTTCCCAATCTAGCTTGCAGCTCTGGAAGTACTCATGTTGGCACAGGGAAGTGGGACAAGAATATCAGGTTAGAGTGAGTGTCTTTGAGCATGTATGTAGGGTACCCAGCCCTGATTCTGGTCTATTTTTTATTAGAAATATATACCAGGTGTGGCTATTGCATTTGAAATCCACATCGTCCACAGTAGTGGCAATTAGCCAAAGAATGTGATCCTTGTCTGACAGTCCTAGCTTTTGCTCCTGTAAATAGTAACTGCCCGTAGACTAACTGTAAAGATTCAGCTGGGGCACACAAAGGAGCAAAGAGAATTAAATTCCACTCTGACTTTGGGGAAACCATTTAATGCCTCTCTGCTGCAATCCATCACGTAGGAAAACAGGGGTAATGTCAAAATTTGTTATCTCTTGGTGATGATATGAAAACAAATGTTTTCTCAATACTGTGGTCGCTGGTGAAACATGAATACCCTCCAAGAATTATTTTAGTATGAAAATAATAGCAATTTTGACATTGAGTACGTTTTCTTTCAGTAGCTGCACTTCTGAGAGAACCTTTTTCCTTCTAGGAACTTTGATTTTTCTTTCCCATCCTTGTGAACATTTTTTCATTACTAAGCCCAGTACTTATTATTGTGGCCTAATCCTGTAACTGAACACACGCACTATGCACCCCTTCATACTCTCCTGAAGCTTCAGGGATTTCTCTGTGACTTATATGGACCAAAGTCTATTTCCTTGCCATACATCTGCAAAGCACATAAATGCTTACACCCTCTCCCTTAATCACCACCATGAACTACTAAAACAAAGGCTCTCGTTCCTGGAGTCAAGGTCTTAAATACCTTTTCTTTCCGGTCTGCTTCCAGAGCAGCTCAGTCGATGAGATTAACATACACTGGGGTGGCCTCGTGGCCCAGGAGACATTGAAAGACATAATAGCACAAACCGCGCTTTCCCACTGCCCGTGACTGCCGCCTGCCACCGCGCTTCAGCCGCCGCCGGGTCTCCCGGGGGGCCACTTCGGTCTCCGCAGCACTTGGCCGCACCAGACCCCTGACGCCCTCAAAATGTCACCCGCGGTTAGCAAGCGGGGACCTCCCTCCACCTCCGAGTCCCGACTGAGAGGCTGAAAACGGGACAGGTCGGTCGCGACGACCTTGCCTTTTCACGCCGAGAACCGGCCGCTCCGCGTCCCCCTCGGGCTGAGGGGCGGCACCTCAGGGGAGCCGGCGGCTGCCCGCCGAGCCGGAGCCGGCTGCGAGGCCCGAAGGCCGGCGGCCGCAAGCAACCCCGTCTTCCCGCCGGCTCGTTTGTCCCCGCGACCGTAGGGTGACGCGGATGGCTCCGCCACGGGTTCCTCACGAATTCGTGAGAGCTCCTCCGCGACCGCTGCTTCCACGCTTCCCTCCCGTCACGTCTCAGCCCGGACACGGCGCCCTCCCACCCGACCCCGCAGCCAGGCGGCCGCCTGCTCGCCCCCCCGGCGGGCTTACCGGCGGTACCGCGCCCGCCCCAGCGCAATGGCCGCGACCCCTCCGCTCCGTCTCCGCGGCTGCCCCGCCCCGCCCCGCCGGTGCTGCCCGGCCCCCCGCGGCTGCGCCGCGCCCCTCTGCCCCCCCGGCGAGCCTCCGCTTCCTTCCTCCTGCGCCCGCCAGAGCTCTCCGCACCTCAGCTTTCCCTCGCCGCCCTTTTCTTCTCGCTTCCCGCCCGCTCTGCTCTTTCTCCCCTGGGCAGTGACAGGCAGCAGCCGCCGGGCCGGGCTGCGGCGGGGGCCCCCTCCAAAAGTGGCCCCGCCGCGCACCCCACGGCCGCGGGTGGGGGCGAGGAAGCTTTGCTCGTCGCCGTAGGGGCCAAGGCCTTCGGTTGCCGCTTCGGGAGGCGAGGTTCGGTACTGCCGAGCAAGCCCTCTCCCCCAGCCAGGGGCAAACCCGGTCCCAAGCCAGCAGGACGGACGGCGTGCAGGCAAAGGGCCGTCGTGCCCAGGCATCGGCAGTTTTCCCCCAGCCGTGCTCAGGTGCGGAGTTTTCAAAGCAAAAAAATGAGCTGAGCAGCTTTTACAGTCTCCATCGACTGCAATGCTTGCCCATCCAGACGTTAGCTACCATTGAAAGGCTTTTCTTTTCCTTGAGGCCTCAGCAGATGGAGGCTGCGGCAGGAACGCGGCTGTGACAGAACCTGACACCCTTGACAGCTTGTCAGGGAAACTGATGTTCTTGATCTTCCGCCAGGACAATCTGGCACTGAAGGCAACTCGGCCTGTCTGAACATCAAGCTTTCTAGCCACTGGGCTAATCAAGGTTAGAAAACACTCTTATTTTCTAGGAAGTAAGCCTCTGGCTATTGAGAAACTGTCCAAATTACCTTAAACAACTCACTGCCATCAGGAGCCTCTGTAAGTTGTTTCATCAATAGCCTTTTTGAAGTCTCACACTGTCCTTGCTTTTACTGCCTTCCAGACCACTCTTGAAGGCTGCCCCTTACAATGAAATTACATGGCCTTTTATACAAAAGTGAGAGGATTCCTATTCCAAGACCATCTTCTGATGAAAAAGGAATTTTAAAACCCAGAAAAAGTTATTGGCTGATCCCTCAGTCCCTACTGAAAGGTACTGGAGTTGCCAGTACTTGCCCAGTATCAACAGTGAATTCCTAACAGCTGGGAGGGCTATGCTGAGCAGCAGTAGTTGGTTGTGCTCTCCTTCCCATGTACATGGTGGCATTTTCTTCTATTTTCTTGCATTTTAGCATGCCACACACCCCTGACCACACTCTGAAAACACTTTGGTTATGTATGTTTCAGTGAACAGCAGCTGATGGTCTGTTATTTCAAGTGCCCATACGGCTAGCAGGAATTTCAAAACATATTGGTGCATCAGATGAAATAAAAATACATCTACCTGAACGAAGCCCGTAACTGCCACCTTGAAATTATGCAGGTTTATTCTTCTGGGCAGGAAAAAATACAGAGTTCTTCCGTTTCCTTGGCAGGATCCACCACCTTTGCTGGCTCAGGTGCTGTAGGAAAGAGGATACAACACTGAAGAGGGAAGAGCATGCTGCTGCAAGGCACAAGGTAGTAGCAGGCCTGCCAGAAAACAGTTATTTTAATGTTTAGTTGGTTAACATATTGATTTACCAGAACTTTCAGGTTAGTGTACGTGTTTGAGAAAGAAGAAAACCTCACACAGCTTTTAACAAAATAGCCATCTCTTCTGTAATCACAATAGAGCTGTAAATAATTCATATGCAGAGTCTTGCATTCCCCGTTCATATTTTTTCATGAATGTCAGTCTATTCTGTAAGTTTACAACTACAAAAGACATAATTTTCTTTCCTTTGTTTGTCCAGAAATAATAGTTGCCTCAGTTAGGCCTGAACATCGTCATGCTGCAAAATACCTGACCAAACCATAAATGAGCTGTCCTGGCTGCAAGAAGGAGCATAGCTGCCTTAGTACAGCACACTGTGCAGTTTAATTAGATGTGTTGAAGCAGCGTATATGAGCTGTTCAGAGAGGTAGGTCTGTTTGGGTGGGTGGGAGGCTTTACTGGTGCCTTACTTCGTCATTACACATACATGTTTTCACTTTTATACTTTTGTACTACTGTCTGGTAGTACAAATGGTCTTGATCCCAAGTCTGCAAAGCAACCATCCAGCATGTCTGAAGTGTATTTAAACTGTCTTCTCCCAAGTATCCTATGGAAGAGTAACTACAAAGAAGATAGTCACCAGAGATAATGCTTGTCTGAGAAATCTGATATCTTTTCTGTGTGGAGATAATAATACTTAATGTCATCCACACAGATATATACCTTTTTTTCCAGAGAGGTCTGCAGGTGCCTTTCATATTAACTCCTGAATAGCCACACGAAAAGAGAAAACTATGGGCATGTGAGAGCCATTGATGACTCCAGCACAGTTGGAGAGCTCTGGACTTCTGTGTTCTTCAAACCATCTATCTGTTCATGGCTGCAATACCTCTGCAAGTACAAGCATGATCAGCTCATCCAGCTGAGCTCATATTGGCACTGGTTGGGGCACATGAAAGAGAGGAACTTACGTGATGTGAACTGTCCACTAAATATGTTGGCAGACTGAAAACTTTCCTGTGAAGACCTGGAGGGAAGAGGGAAGTTTGTCATAGCATGCCATCAAACATTCCCTGGAGCACCTCAAGTTAATGAAACTCTAAGAACCTGGGTATGATTCCCCAGGCATTCCAGTGCCAAATCCACATAAATAGCAGTGCCAGCGGGGTTTGGGGTTTGTAGACACAGATAGTCATCATTACTGTAGTGTAGATGCTCCTGGACTAGCTTAGCAAGTACAAGGTGCATTCATATCAGGTCAGTGGATGTACCTGAGAGATCTGGTGTGCATTTACAGTATAAACAGTTCCATACTATGATATACACTCTGCTTTAAATATCTTTGAAGATGTGGTAGCATATTAATCATAATTTGTAGCTGGAAAGGGACTTGATTATCACCCAGTAATTTGATCACCTTTTTCCTCCTTAGCTCTGCAGTAAACCCAAATAATTTAACTGTAGCAGAGATTTCACCAAAAAAACTTACATTTTAAATCACACTGAATTATTCTTTACAAGATCATTGGCTAAATGATGTACTGAAGAGTCCTAACCAATGTTATATCTGAAAACCCAATATTTTGCCAGTGCAAATTAAAGCTGTCTGTTGTGCATATGCACTAAGGTAGTCTCTTACTACAAGATCCTCAGATATATTTCCTGACCCAAGTTTGAATCAGTTTACAGGATGATGGATGCACAGTGAGCACAACAGCTGTTTGTCTGTTCTGTGTGTGGCTATAACCTTTATTTACTGTAAACCATCTAAATCTGTATGGGTTTATTAATTTCCTTGTGAAGAGACTGTGTTCATCACGGGAGCAAGCTTTTTATAAATATTCATGAATTATCCTTCACAGCTCCCTGTGAGACAAGAAGGTATTACTACTTCCATGTTACAAATAAAAAAATGGAAGAAGGGTGAATAGCCACAATGTGAAAGTGTTTACTAGTAGTTCTGAGACTACATGCTTTCTGAAAGATCTAACATTTATTTTTATATTTTTACAGTGCAAGATATATTCTGTGTACATTATGTATATTTTGCAAATCTTGAGAGATATAGAATAGGTATGTAAACATTATCATGGGAACGTTCCTGAAAGGCATCTTCTAGGTCATTGAATCTATTCCCTTGTTATTGCAAGCATGCCATGTAATCAGGTTCTTAAACTGACTGCATTTTAGCTTGAAAGTAATTCGGTGTTTTGCTCATATTACTGTATTAGAATACTGTTGCAGAGTAGGGGTGCTGTGAATTATCTTCTAGCTTCTAAACTCAATATCATACCCATTTGCTCTTATTCTAGCAGTGACCACCATTTTAATGATTTAAATAGTTCTTTTTGTTCCTTGTGTTTATCCATCCACCTTTGTTTTGCTAAAGTAAACCAGATAAGCATTAATTATATCAAACTGAATGAAGGCTAAGTTCTGAATAAAAGTGTCCAGACAAAGGTGTAAAGCAGTTTAACAAATCCATTCAGACCGTAGTTAATGTTAGATAAATTGCCATGATGTAGCTTGTGTAGACGAGTTTTAAGAGAGTAACTGACTGTAGTATTCACTCATGCAATCCTCAAGCTTTGCCTGTGGTTTACACCATTATGTTTAGCCAGTTGCAGAATGCCAGGAATCAGGAAGCTTGCATTATATCCTAGTTCTGGAGGGCAGTTATTAGCAGTCAGTAGCAGTTATTATTATTGACGTAGCATTTACTGATATGCTATTCGCTGTGGTTTGGCCATCACGTATATTAGGAACTTCCATCCTGAAAGTCACTAAGATGATGGGACTTTTTATTCTAGAGATTTTAATTCTGTTGCCCATTCTGCAGAAAGTAACTGCAAATCAACTGCAATTTAACCAGGAATCTGAAAGAGTCTTTCACTTTTAAGGGGCTATGAATTATCAGGACAAGCAGAAAATCATCTTAAATGAGATAACATCATCTTTCTGCAGCTCCTAATGTAGCAGGAATCTACCTCTTACCTTGACATTAGAACTTTCTACAATAGGGAAACTGAATTGGTAATCTATAGTGAGACTCCAGTTTCTACCAATCCAGGCTGACTACCCTGCTGAACTAACATGGGCCCATTGAATAAGAAGACACAAAACTGTAACGCTAAAGAAAAAGAACACTATCTAGTGCGGCTACTTCTGGGCTGATGGGAAACTGTGTATGGTAGGAAAGTAGTAATAGCTAATTGAAATTTCACACAGACAGCTTTGATGCGCTTGGATAAATTGCTTAATGTCTTCTTTTTCTGTTTACCATGATGTGGCAATTTCCCATGGCAAATCTTCAGCCTTATCTACAGCTGTAAACTTTTTATCAGCTTGTTTACACTGCTGCAGTTTTATTATGAATCAGAACACTTTTGATATGTACTTATGGTATGTACTTACGTGCCTTCCCTTTCATTGCATATATAAGCAAGTTATTTGACTTGTTGA